GACCACCTTGGTGGGATTGGTTTGATTTGAATTGGAAAAAGAAGACTACTTATAACTACTATTTACAACTACAACTAACCTACAACTACTATGTACACCTAACCTACTATATACAAATTGCTTATCAAAGCATGTTCTGATAAATTACATTTTTGTGTAAATTTAGTCTTAATTTCGTTAATTTTGGAATCTATTTTGGCAATGCCTGCCTCTTCATGTAAATTTGTTATTCTAGTGTCGAAAGGACGATCAAGAACCATCCTCAGCACTCTATTTTGTGCGACCTGAATTTTGTTCCTGTGAGTCTGTGCACATGATTCCCACACCGGAGCTGCGTAGAGGATCGCAGGTGCTATGATTTGTTTGTAGACGGCCAGTTTGTTCACCCTTGAGAGGCGGGATCTGCGGCAAATCAGCGGAAACAGACACCTAACCAATGTAGAACACTTGACTACAGTTTTCTCTCCATGCGAACGGAAGAGGAGCTTTTCGTCGAACAACATCCCGAGATAGGTAACTTCGGTAGACCACTCAACCCTTGTGCCATCCATGATTACAGTACAAGATGGAGCCGGTTTCAGTTTGGACGATTGCCGATGGAGGAACATTATCGCTTGTGTTTTGGTGGCATTGATTTTGATTTTCCACGTGGTGGCATAATCAGCAAAGGCGTTAAGGCATCGTTGAAGTTTGTTCGTTATTTCGCGAGGCATCCTTCCTTTGACGGCTATTGCGGTATCATCTGCGAACAGGAAAAACACGCAACCGTCACCGAGGGGAGGAATGTCGGAAGTGTAAATGCTGTAAAGCAAGGGGCCCAGCAGACTGCCTTGCGGGACTCCTGCTGGGATCGAAAACGTGTCTGAGAGACAACCATTCAACGATACCTTAAACGACCTTTGCTGGAGGTAGTTACGGGTGATTTTAATAAGATGTAAAGGAAAGTTGAAGTTACAAAGCTTGTACACAAGTCCGTCATGCCAAACATTGTCAAACGCCTTTTCAACGTCTAACAAGGCCATGGCTGTGGACTTGGATACAGCTTTGTTACTTCGGATGTTATTCATCACCCGCACTAGCTGGTGATTGGTGAAGTGCCCCTTTCTGAACCCAAACTGTTCCGGAAGGAGAATGTTATTTTCCTCGACAAACTTGAGCAAACGATTGAGAATGAGTTTCTCGAACAATTTGCTCAGCGGTGAAAGGAGGCTGATTGGTCTGTAGCTTGAAGACAATGTTGGATCCTTACCGGGTTTGCGGATTGGTATGATTTTTGCTACTTTCCAGATGCTTGGAAAGTAGTGCAGTTCCAAACATCTGTTGAAGATAGCGGTTAGAAGAGACTGCACTTTCATGCTGAGTCTCTTCAAGATCAAGTTGAATATACCGTCAAACCCGCCGGAGAGATGAAAGTTGGTTCGTCCGGAAATTGCACAGTGTACAGACCATGTTGTGCGTGGTCGAACAATAGACATCCGTTCCGGTTCCTCTGGTAGTTCCTCCAAGCTTCATGGCGGGCGTTCAGGTCGCCCCCAACGATGAATCGGGAGCTAGTACGGGTGATGGCGGTCAGGTCCTTCTTGAATTGGATTCCTAATCCGTTGCTTGCGGTACACTGGCGTGGGCAGTAAACAGCGATGAACCGGACGTTTCCAGTTGGTGATTCCACCTCCACACTAATGGCCTCGATGATAGAAGTGCGGATGTGGGGCAGAGTGCAAAACTTGATTCCCTTTCTGACGATGACCGCTACACCACCCCCCCCTGGAGCTGGTGCGATCAAGCCGGATAATGTTGTGGTCAGGCAACTAGAAGCTGTCACCGGACTTTAGGTGGGTCTCAGTTAGAAGAACCACGTTGATGCTATGCTTGCGGAGGAAGTCGGCAAGCTCAATCTGTTTTGCTCTTACAGAGCAAGCGTTCCAAGTAGCGATGGTTAGCGGTTTAGACACCATACTGGATGATGAACTTACCGAGCACTTGGATCTGTTCGGGCTTATTGCGGCACTTACGTAGAGCACCGGTCATGTTGACGAAAATTTCCATCAGTTCATCCGCCGAAAACAGATCGGGGTTGTTGTTTTGCGCTGGTGGTTGTCTCCAGAATCCAGGGGGGGATGGAGAGCTTTGGCCAGCAGAATCACCAGAAGTTGCTTGAGCGGAATGCACCCGCGAATTCGCTTGCCTTTGCTGAGGAGCACGAAGAGGCGGGAAATCCTCCGTCCGAAATGCCGGGACTTTGTCCTTCTTGCGTTGCGTTGTTAGCTGCCGCCTGTTTGAAGTCCTCGCGTTTGGAGCACTGTCTGTCGGAACCTTGGTGAGCACCACCACAGTTGGCGCATTTTAACGCCACGGCTTCATCCGCAGGGCAGTCGGAAGTGGCGTGGTCTTGAGCGCAATTGCCGCAGCGTGGCTTAATGTTACAGTTGCGGGTGCCGTGTCCAAAGTTCAGACACCGTTGGCACTGAGTCACATCGCGATGGCCGCCACGGTATGGCTCCCAGCGGACGATGATGCAATTGATGGAGCGGATGGCTTTCAGCGCGTTGAGCGTCACCGTTCCCTTCTGGAAGTGTACCAGGAAAAGGCAATCCGGATACGCCTTCACATTCTCGTCTCTTCTTGTCATCCGATAGACGGCACTTGGGGCCAGCTTGTACCGGTCCCTGATTTCAGCTTCGATAAACTTCGGGTCGAAGTTTGGTAGGCCCCTGATGACGACCTTGAATGGTTTCTCACCGGGAATGTCGTGGGTGAAGAATTCCACCTTGGAAGCCCTCAGGTGGGCGACGACCAAGTCATACTCCGCTTTGGTACGGAGCACCACCTTGGTGCCGACTCTGCCCAACTTGTATTCGGCTTTAACGCCCAGCGTCGCTAGATCCGCGATGAGCTCATTAAGATGAGCATTTTTTACCACCAATGGAGGTAGCTTCACTTTTGCCGCACTCGGGCCGGCAGAATTTTCGTTGTCGATGGTGTCGCCGAAATCACCGATGTCGCTGGCGTTCGTTGCTGTGACGTCATCACGTCCACTCGCACCATCGGACTGGCCTTGGTTTTTCTTCCTCTTCTTGGATCGCTTCACCGTGGCGGAGGTGGTATTTCCAACATCGGTGGGAAGAGTAGCGTACCTATTTGAAATAGGTACACTCGTGCTACACTCACCACTGTTCTTTTCCGCTTTCTCACGGAGCCTGCTCCGGGAGCGCTGTCTTCCCATCACACGATGCGACCGACACTACTGACGACGCGAATAAACGTTTGGAATAACTATCGAACAACTCGACAGAGCGAGCAAATACCGGACTGTACTGCTTGACGAACAAGCAGAGAATCTGATGCTTTTTTGACCATGAATACCTCTTTTATAACTACTGGAAGGCTAAATTATTCTTGCAAGTTGTTGCATTTTTGTTTTTTCATCGTTTATGATTAGTTGAACATAACAAAAGTATGTTATTAAATAGAGGAGAAAGCGGTTGAAATTTTTATGCATCGTGTTCGATTTATCGTATCTGCATCGTAACTAAGCACAATGGCTCGTACCAAGCAGACCGCTCGTAAGTCCACCGGAGGAAAGGCTCCTCCCGAAATCGCCTAGGACTTTCAAGACCGATCTGCGGTTCCAGAGCTCGGCCGTTACAGGAATCCAGTAAGGCCATCTGGACGGTCTGTTCGAAGATACCAACCTGTGCGCCATCCACGTCAAGCGTGTTACTATTATGCCAAAGGACATTCAGCTGGCTCGTCGTATTCGTGATGAACGCTCTTAATTTCTCCGTCGAAATCTAACAAAAATGGCCCTTTTCAGAGTCATTAAAAGATTCCACAAGAGAGTTGGGAAGGAAATTTCTGCTGCTTTTACTGATCGCATCACAGTGAATCCTGATCTTAAAATTGCAACCAGCAAGTGCCTTAGAACCAAAAGCGGTGCGGTTCTAGTTTTCATTGCTGTGACAACGACTGTAAGGGGCTTAGAAGCAGAAGGGTGAAAACCAATTATCTATTGATTTCCTCTTTTGTGATCACCACGGCTTCACTAACCTATTTCGCACTATTGTGCGTCACAATGTTTGCCGTCGAGTTAACGTTATCCGACCTTCTTAGTTGCTCCTCCGTGAATGATCAGAACTAATCAACTTACACAGTGCGATTGTTACTAGAGACCGAGAATTCCTCAACATCTCCACGGCTGTCTCGTCTCGGGAAGGATAATTGTGCTAGTGAGGTAAGGTTATTTTTAGATCAGGATTCATGTGGTAAGTGATGCGATCGGTTAAAGCAGAATTTGTTTTTATTTAAAGCTAGTGGGGACAGGATAAGGCAAAGTGAAAAATTGCAAGGATGGGGACGGGCCTGGGATTGAACCCCGACCTTCTGCTCAGTAAGCAGAAACGGTAACCACTGAGCTACCGAGCCTCGTCGTAATGCTACATCGACATGTTTCGTCTAGGAATGATTGTCTAATGACTGTGTTGGGAAAGCAGCATAAGCATGTACGTAATTGGTCGATTTATAAGTTAATTCGACGCTTTTGGACAATGCTTGACATTTACCTTTTTCAATAGTTTCTTGTTGAAAATCAACAGTAGGAAGCATTGCTATCGATGCGAAGAAATATTGCTGATATATTTTTTTTTAAATTGGACCAGGGGCAGCTGAGTTATTAACGTTCAAAATCTTTCACAATTTTGTTACATGTTCCATTTTTGGTTTTCACAAAGTGTACCCCCATATAGAAATCACAGACGTAGTCCTACGTCAAAAGAAACCCGAAATATCTCTCTCAAAATATCCTGGTTTAAAAACAAAATTATGTCCACGAAGGGGAGTAGGGAGTAATTAATTATGCTTTTTCTATCCACGTGGTGCATGGATACTCCCTTACTCAAGTGACGAAATTCACATTCGACGTAACCATGACGTCATGAATAGTTATATTTGAGTTGAGTACTTTTTGCTCGTTCCACGCTTTAAATAAATTTTTACTATTACAGATGATTCCATTGACGTGACTAATGATGAAGATGCGGAACCTGTTCAGAACAACGTGGCCATTCCCAGTTTAGTGAATCACCCCCTGTATGGCCAGAGTCCGGTAAGAAGCATTTACGCCAATCCACTGTTCCTGTCAATGACTTGTGTCGTATTGTTTTTAGATGTTCAACTTCCAAGAAACGATCTACGAAACTAGCGCGAGACTACTGTTCATGGCCGTCAAGTGGGCCAAGAACCTACCCAGCTTTGCGAGTCTTACTTTCAGAGATCAGGTAGTAATCAACTCCTTCGTTTTTGTTTGTCAGTTAAAAATGTGTACGATTTACAATTCAGGTAATTCTGTTGGAAGAATCCTGGTCCGAACTGTTCCTGCTGAATGCAATCCAGTGGTGCATGCCAATTGAAACATCCGCTTGTACATTGTTTTCGTTGAACGAACACTGCTCCAGCGTGAATAATTCCGGTGTTTTTAAACCGGGACAGGTAAGAGATTGCTGTTTGATACGTATGAAACTTTTCAATGATTAATTTTCAATTTCAGCTAGCACAAGACCTTCGAGTACTGAACGATTCCCTCTGTCGATTCAAGTCGGTCATGGTAGATCCAGCGGAGTTTGCTTGTATGAAGGCTATTGTTCTGTTTCGATCCGAAGCACGTGGATTGAAGGATCCGGTCCAGATTGAGAATCTCCAAGATCAAGCTCAGGTAATTGTGAAGCGTGCCGTAGAAAGCAATAAATGCTAATCGAAAAAATTCTCACCGTAGGTGATGCTAGCTCAGCATTCTCGAACACAATTCCCCGGTCAGATCGCCCGCTTCGGAAGGCTTCTGCTAATGCTTCCCCTGTTACGGATCATCAACTCGCACAAAATCGAATCGATATACTTTCAGAAAACGATCGGCAACACTCCCATGGAGAAAGTTCTTTGTGATATGTACAAAAATTAGCGACCGAACTTCGCTCTGTTACTGACAAAAATCTGTGAATATGTGTAGTATTAGTTTAGCCTAAAAAAAAAAACAACCAACCGCACATGAATATAGATAAAAATGCACATTAACCCACTCACCAAGCGAGAGTGGAAACAAGCGAATCGAGAGACAGATTCAATTATCGGTTCACCCGGGAACGATTGTCAATTTTCATAAACTCCTGCACGCGTGCCATGCCGAGATGTGTGGTGAAGGTACGAAATGAAAAAAAAAGAAGCATACATCCAATTTGGACGATTTGCGTAATTATTAGGAAAGTTTTGTTGTTTTTTCACTCACTCATGCATTGCCTGGCACCCACTCACACAATCGCTATTTGTTCCCACACCAAACTAATCGAACAACAAAGGCATCAGTAATAATAACAGCAACAACTACGATAACGGTTCCTAAATTTATGCACGAAATCGACCCCGCACCCCCCATCAACCCCGGCTGAGTGACAGTCACAAACGTGTGTGAGTGGATATGTGCAAGCGAGCAACCAGCCACCAAACTAGACAAAATCAAGGGGCGGGCCGTGGGGTGGCGCTGGTGGCGGTGCGCCGAGCTTCACATTTGCAAACTCGTGCGTAAATTATTATGCGGTCACATTTCACGTCACGTGTAGTATTTTCCACAGATTTCGATTCGAGCCGATCATGGTTTTTTTTTCGTCTAGGATTCTTTCTGCTCGCCTCATTCCAAAATTATCTGCACCGGACAGCTTCCATTACGCCTCTCGATTTCTAAACCGTAAATTTTTGCCGATGATTATTTGTCCATTTGCACAGCGATAATCGAATTATGGAGGGTTTTCTTTTTTTTCTTTTTCGGGATATCTGCATTTGTGATGGAGTTAATAGTCGAACTGCCGAAAAACTTGTGCAAGGAAATCAGTTAGCAATTGCAGTTGAAATGTGTAAAATACGTCTGTCGCATCCTTCACGTAATTATTCAATCACTAAATCAATCTAAAAATAGGTTCTTTTGTATTACTTACAGACATTCAAAAAAATTAAGTTTGAAAATGGTCTCTCGCAAACTTTAGTGATTAATTGAACTTTGTGCAATGAATATATGTATATGTACTTAAGTGAAGCAAACAAGGTGTAAAATATCTTCTTAAAGTTGCACGCTGACAAAATCAAATAACGATAAGAATAAAATCATTCAATGCACATAACTGTGTTGCAAAGAAATATTCGGTTTGATTGTATAGTTTTATGAAATAATTAATAAACGATATCCTAATACCAATGGCTTTTAATTTTTGTTTATCTTTAATTTACTTTAAATTTGAAGAAAAAAAAAGTGGTTTCTTCTTAAGAGTTCAACTAATTTAACTAGTTCAAATTAAAAAAAAAACAGTTAATCAACTAAGAAATTTAACCGGACTCAAAACAAAACACACACTCATATTTTAAGTGTTAGGATAACAATCCTGATTAGATCGACCCATCCATGGTATCGTTGTGACCATTATTAACAAATCAACTGTTGGTCATCTTATATGCTCTCTGTAGAAATTTAAATAATCCAACTAGGGTTTTACGAGCTATTCGTAGTCAGCTACTGCAAATTCTCGAGCATGCACGGCGATATTCGAGCTAAGAGTCATCTTCAAGGGAAACCATGTCAATTGTCAGTGACAGTGCTGTCAGTGACAATCATGTGCAGTTTTTGTTATTAGATATATATTTATAACAAATTTAAGCAAAATAATTCCATGGAGCCATTAAAGTGAACAACTGCCTACGTCCTTAACTGCCTGGAAAACAATAATGTGGAAGAGATTGGACGAAATTACACTTTTTGTTACCTGGCGAACAATTCAATGAGTTCCAATCCTACCGACGCCAGAGATGCAGCTCCTACACCTAGACCATACTCGGAAAAAAAATCCGTTCCCGAAAACGGGAACGGACCGTGAACTAAAAATCACGGCCAACTATGGGGCTGTTCATAAACTACGTAGACAGTTTATGGGGGGGGGGGGGGGGGTTGAGAATTATCCACGACCCATACAAATTTTAAAATTTTTGTATGGACAATTGTCTACGCAGGGGGAGGGGGGGGGGGTCAAGAATCCCAAAAAATTGTCTACGTAGTTTATGAACAGACCCTATCCAGAACAAAATTTTCTCAAATATACACCGTGAAATATGGTTCACGGCTGTGGTTCACGAATATGGGAACTCTTTTTTTCCCGTGTACCCATCCGATCATATACCGGGAACCAACGGCTTTAACTCCCATGCGAAGGAAGGCGTGATCAGAGATTTTACTCCTCAGAAAATTTCGGTGGGGCCGACTGGGATTGAATCCAGGCCTCTCTCGGAATGAGAGTCAACCACGCTCACCACTATGATATTTTGACGAAACAATTCTTCCAGTGACGATGTCAAAAATAATTCTTTGTTTACGTTTGCGACATTGGCGACATTGGCTCAGTGTTGAACTGAGATGTTGAGAAAATTTTTGTGAGAGTTCCATCAGGAATGTGGGTGCTTCGAGATCACCGATCACAACATGGGTAACGGGTTCTGTCCGAAAATGTGCAACAGACGTCTGACCGAGCAGCAGCAGGTTTGCGGTAGAATGCCTGATCTGAATGGTTGCACCCATTATTTTCAAAAACAAAAGAATCTATTTTTATCTTCATCCGATAGGCTGAAGTGAATTCAATTACGTTTCAATGTAGTTTCAATGCATTAGGCCGAATTTAGAATCCGTAGGCCGGTCAAGAAACAATGTTAGATTTTTAACAATATCTCAGAAGTTAAATAAATTTGGAAAACATCTGCAGTGGAAACATTTCATTTTGTGAAAAAAGGGCGGGTTGTGCTTAGTAGGCCCAAAATTAGACCTAAGCCCTACTTGCTTGGATACTTGCACGGATGCGAATCATTAAATTGAGTATCTACCGAGTGAGGGAGGCTGAGGTGATTGCAAGAGAAAACAAGTTTTGGTTGATGGCTGGATTTCGGGAGTACTCTGTAGAAGGATGTCCAAATCTTACGAGGAAGGTTGTTGCTTGGGAGCTGCTGAAGAGCTGTCAACCGGGGAGTGGTTACACACTACTAAAAAGTCATGTAAATTTCGGTTCCCTGAAACCGACACATGTAAGCTAGAAACACTAGAAGGAGAGATGGGCGGAGAAAACAAAATACAATTCGGCAGTAGGGATTTGTATCTAAATTATCTTGCGACCCTTGCTAAAACTTAGCATTTCACATGACTTTTACTTTTGATTCGATTTACGTGTAAATTAATAATTGATTGCATCGCAATATTTTGCACATTTTTGGTGCCATTAATTAACCAACTAAGATCAATTAATCAATAGAGCTAGAATATTGCTTTTGATTCCAAAAACTAGTTGAATTTGAGAAGCATACGACACATAAGGGTGATTGAATTTCTGTTCGATTGCAATACTCTCAAATTTAATCTAGTAAGAATAAGAAATCCTCGGAAAAAATCTAATGGGAATGTTCGTTTGGCTCAGATTTTGACAGTTCATTCGGCTCAAAACATTCTCTCCGCTCATCTCTCCTTCTTGTATTTCTAATGTAAGTGGGCCTTTTGACATAAGAATCAGTTGAAAGAAACGTGAAAATCAATTCAATCAAACGTTCTCTTCGTTGACTAGCTGATGTTTCGGTTGGAGAACACATAATTTTACATGAAATGTTTGTTTACGTTCTATGATTTACGTCCAATATGGATTACGTCTTGTGTAAAAGTTGTTATTTGTAAGTGTGTAGGAGAGGGTTACCAGGACGCAGATCACATTATTTGGTCATGTGCTGAGCACCGTGGAGTCAGATCCGAGTTGTACGATTCCCTTCGGGCTCGAGGTAGACAACCTAGTGTTCCAGTTCGGGATATTTTGGGTAGACGCGATCTGGAGTTTATGCAACTCATATATGTTTTCTTGCAGAATATTAACCTTAGATTGTTAGTCTGATTAACCTTGTGTTTAGTTTGTATTTTGTATGTGTGTGTGTGTGTTTTTGTTGTAGATTTGTTTCTGTAATAATTGTATAATTACAGAGTTGATAAAACGTCGATAGGATTAAGTATATGTTTTAGAAATAGTGAAATTTTTGAATAATAAATCATATTCCAAATCTCCTTTTCCCTCTCCCGATCCAAACAATTGTCATCCACTAACCTTGAGAAGACCGCGAGTAATCGGTTCAAATCCTTTAATTTTAGATTTAAGACATTTATAATGTATAGGAAAATGATAACTTGGCTCTGTAAAGTTTATTCGATTGAGCCTATGCAAATAAAGTAATTAAAAAAAAAAAAGTGTGTAGGAGAGGAAGCTTTGCGAGGTGTTGTCGCTGATATTCAGGCAGATTAGCGCGATTGGAGTCTTTGGGTCAGAGAAGAAGACGGTGGTCATGAACCAGAGACAGAGGAGGGAGGGGACGGGTATTTAAACCGGATTAGAGTGGAGTGGAGAGTTGGAATTGACTGTTATGACCCCGGAGTGGAATCTAGTTCCTTCTTTGAAGAGTTCTTCCAGACGGTGGAGTTCAATTTAGGGAACTGAGATGCGCTGGCAAAGTAAATAAGATAGGAGTGTCACTTGGCTGGGAAAACTGGGATTTATTGAAAATAAGGCGTTAGTCAAAATAAACAAATTGCATCACAAACATCATCACACAAAACTAGCGAAAGATTATGCAAAGTTTCATGGAATGCGGAGAGGTAAAATGTTAAATATTTTTGTTATAAAGACCATGCATTTTGGTAGCTGCTGCTCCGTGATTGATGAGAACTACCCCAGTAACCAACAAGCCCGCTGATTCGCCTTTTTGCAATATAAGGCTGATTTACGACTAACATAGGACATGCTCAGCTTTATATTTGCCACATATTATCCTTATATTGCAAAAAGGCGAATTAGCGGGCTTGTTGGATATATCGGTAATGCACTTGCACAGAGAACCACGTAGATGGTGCATGGGATTAGCTTTCCATCTTCATTGTACAAGGACACTAATTCAATCTATTTATAGATCAATCACAGCGCCGGCAACATCCTATCACGGTCTTTTGGGGAGAGGAAGGATGATTAGTTCGACATCCGTTGTTATTAGAGACCGAATACACCTCTGAATCTCCACGGCTTTTACGGGGAGGAAAATAGTTGTGTTAGTAAGGTGGGTTATTTTTTGATCAGGATTCACTGTGGTAAACATGCGATCGGATCGGTTGGTTAATGGGGTGTTTGCATCTGTGCGGATTTGTTAGCGCTATTTTACTAGCCAACTAGCACGAATTTCAGTTGCTCCTGAAAAATCTCATGCTGGTAGACGCAGATACCATAGAGGTAAATGTAAGACCAGAAGGTCGCGAAGAAACGTGCTCAAATTTTTTGCTCAGCTCTAGTACTCTCTTCGGTCCCAAGCTAATCGATGCACCTCTCGAAACATAGAAAAATCAACGAACCCCTCATTTTATCTGTCAAACTCTCATAGCAAATCAAAGCAAACATAGTGTACTACTAAAATTTCGACTAGAATGGGGTACGTTAATTGATTTGCTTGGGACCAATAAGCTAGTCAAGTAGTGAGCCAATTTTAAATAGTCCATAAATCGCAAAAAAGTATGAACATTTCTAAATGATTTTAAACGACCCAAAAATTAAAAACTATTTTTGAACATTTAATGAAAAAAAAACAACTCTTCCCACTTTACAGGCTCTGCATGGAGGATTCCGTGATGAGGT